TATATATATATATATATATATATATATATATATATATATATATATATATATATATATATATATATATATATATATATATATATATATATACATATATATATACACATATATATATATAGATATATATATATAGACTGATGTATAAATTTAAAAGAACAATATGTTTGGACACAAAGGTCTCACATATGAGTTTCCACCTTTATCCATAAGCTCAACTAATAATCTTCCTTCAACTCTATATAATAATTATCCATTTCATTTTCAGGGATCTTTCTTTTTATATAACAATTATTGTGAAGTTTTTCTTCTTGCAACTTTAAATACAACTAAATAAAATTTCCTTTTCTATGATGTTGCTAGAAGAGTTGGGATGCCTTCAATACTCCAAAAGCAATATCAACATTGTTTTTAAGATCTTGCTCCAGATATAGCATGAGTGTTTAAGTATGTACATATAAATGTCTTATATGCTACTTTTATTTGAACAAGATATATGGTTGTATGGGTTTAATATCTTTTCTTGAGCACTGATGCAAATGCTCAAGAGTTGGTTTAGATAGTATGTATGGATATACAAGAAAATCAAGGAAAAGTTAAAGACACATAACTACTATAATTTTATGGTGATGAACAACATATAGTGAGTGTTAAATATAGAATCCCTATGATGTAATATGAGAGTTATAGTTACTTTCATATACATATTACCTATTTATAAAAAAGAAAAAATAATTAAATGGTATTGATTATAGATAGCATACCTTATTCTAGGGCCCCCATAAGATGTATTATGCATATAATGTTTTAGAATCTTTAAAAGTTTAGTTCATTATTAGTAAAGTATAAAAACTTATATTTTTGAGAATGATAGTATTCTAGCATGTGTAAAAACATTATTATATATAATTATGATATAAGTTGTTCTGACACTTATAATTTTTGAAGTCTCATTTTCAAGACTAATAATCTATACTATTAAGAATCTATGTATTGTCAAAGAATAAACACATATTATCTTTTATTTAGACAAACAGATGGTTGTATAAGTCTAGAAACATTTCTAAAACACTGTCGCAATTGCTCAAGAGCTAATGTGGAAGTATGCACACATAAATGTATAGGGAAATTAAGAAATAATTAAGGACACATAATATTCATGATGAGGAATAATATCCTATTAGTAAATATTAGATCCACAAGCGTTGAATATGGTAATTCTAGGCCATCTTGTGTAACGTGAGAATTATAGTTACTTTCCTACACTATGATATTTTCCATTCCCTGCCCCTCTAAATAAATAATTAAATGGTATTAATTATAGATAGCATACCTACCATTATGAAATTTGACAAATTGACACTGTTGTTATCTCTAATACTGTTACTATATATAATTCACTGATATGTGACATAATTTTTTCATCACAAATAGATGCATTCAACACTCTTCTACTATATCATTGATAAATAGATTTTTTGTATGACTTCTCAATTTAAGGGGAAAACTCACTTTGCAAATGTTATGCCCATATTTAAAAAGACTTCTAGAGTTCATTATATTAGGGATTTATGATATAGAGGAAAAAATGAATATGTATTGTTTATAAGTTTTTAAAACACTATAAATTACCTCCTTAAGGCAATTGAGAGAAAAGGATAAGAACCTCTAAAGCAATGTTTGAAAAACTTATATTCTTCAATTGCAAACACTCATTTACTAAAATCATATATTGCCTTGACCATTGGACCATTACCTATTGTGCACAACGCCACTAATTGGGCAATAGACCTTAAGTAGAACATCCATCACCAATGGAGATTAAAATGATACCTAAGTAAATGTGTTGTAGATATCCTCATTTAGTATGATGTCAATAGACCTATATACCTTGGCAAAACACATGTAGCACTCTTGCTATCACAATAACTCTTCTGTTCTTTTCTATATAACATATAGTAGGTCCACATCATAACTTGAAAATAAAACTTTAAAAGACAATATAAAACACAAGATGATTTATTACCTTTTTTGGCATGCCTAGGACGCCTTTGATCTTGACCCAACACTATCTATGATGAACTCGAAGGAAAGCCTTTTGAAATTAACTCAAGTTGCATACCTTATGAGGTAGAATATATAATTAGGGTCATTTGAAAGAATGAAGGTAGCAAGACCTATTGTGTGAAGTACAATTACTATTAAAAAGAATGCATCCTTCAAATGGTCTTTAGTTGGGATGTTTTAGTTTGGGACATCACTAGTAACATTTAGAAGACCATTTATCAAAAAGCATGAAGTTTGTGCTCTTAAGCAGTTATCCATGAATCTTCTAACAAAAGCACTCCCAAAGTTTTCATTGGAGGCTTTCTTTGGCCAACTATAGAAGTGACATATCTACCCCATTGTGATCTCTTGTGCACTAATGTGTGACTTTCATGTACCTCTTTAGTCTTATCACAGATGTTTGATATAAGTTTTGTTCCATCCCAAATGGTGAATTCTCCTTCTATGCTTCTGACACTAGCCCTTCACTATGACATTCAGGAGACTCCTCTAGTTTCTCTCCATCCATTTCCAACCAGTTTGGACATGCTGCATGGGAGCTTTGAGCTTGCAAAGCCTAGGATCTTACAAGGAGGCATTTGCAAGATTCTAGCATGTTTTTCCTACTTCAACTTGGAGCAGATACTCTTTTCAGCCACACTTAGCTTTGAACCATGGCCATCCACATCTACAGCAATTAATAAGAGAACCTTGTTCTTTTGACAACTTTACAGCAATGAAAGTGGTGGATATGAGCACTCTACAACTTTTTCACAACTTCAATACCTTTTCAATAGGACTCTTGGATATTAGAGATTCTCTTGGCACTTTTGGACACAGTATGATAGAGGGAGCATGGCTTCCTCAACTTCAAGCTTAGTTAAGTTTTGAGTTGGTTAATTATGTTGCTTTGTGGGTTATGAAGTTTTAAATATATAATTTTGAGATTGTTCATCACCCAAAAAGTTCTATGGCTAATGCTAATGCCCTTTCTTGAGTGCCTCTCCCTTCTCTATTCTCTTCTTTTGTTCCTAACCAACTTGTTTTTCCAGGATATATAGATTTTCTCGATAAGGAATTTGAGCCACCAACGGCTGTTGTACTTGATATTCAATGTTTACAAAGTGCAAAACAAGATTTACTTTTTCTTAATAAGGTTTGTGAGGTTCAAAAATTTAAGCCATAAATATGAAAACTTCATGATGTATTTGAGAATTCTACATCACTTGCCGATGACTTGCCATTTCAGCATTTACATTCTCAATATCATTTTGAAAATGATCTCTATTTTCTGGGGATGGATCATGATGGCTATTTATGGATGATAGTGCCTTCAATTTTTATTCCACCCTTTCTTCATGGCTATGTGGGTATATGAAATATCATTGTGTGACTAAAAAATTATACAAGTTTTTTTATTGGTCAGAGATGTAACATGATGTCATCTAGTATATGTATAGTTGTGTTTAGTGCCAAGCCCCTTTGTGCTACAAAAGGACAATTGGAGTCAATTAAAATTTCTTATTCATTTAAGTTAGTGGCATTTGATTTAATGGGGCTTTTTTCACAGTCGACTGTTAATAATAAGTATATCATTATTCTTTCTGACTATTTAACTCACTGGGTGGAAGTCAGTGCTCTTACTAGTGCATTTGCAACTACTATTAAATATTTCCTCCTCAATTGAATAGTGTTTCAACATTTCAAAGTTGATTCTCTTGGATAATAGTCCCACATTTATGGCTAAGGCATTTTACATTTTAACATTTCAGTTAGGGATACACCACACATTCACAAGTGATTATCGTCCACAATTGGTGGACAACTCGTTTAAATTTTCAAAAGAACAATCATGAAGTACATGAGCTTTTAGTATTCAGATTATGATGGTTATTTTCCCTCTCCTCAGTATTTATCATAGGGGTACAGAATTTTGTTAGTGCTTCACCATATAAATTCCTATATGACTATGATTTGATATTACAAATGAAGTTAAATTTACCTTTGCAATTACCATGAATTGTTGATGTTAAGTTTCAAGATCAATATTTAACAAGCATTCTTCCACTATAGTACAAAATAAATGATATAGTGTTAATTGGTTTATATAAAAGGCACTTTGCTTAGTGGAAGATCAAGTGTTGTGGCAAGTTGAACCACAAATTTATAAAATTTAACATGACATTCAATAAATTAATCCTTTAAACATTATGCATATACAACAATTAAAACATTTCATAGAAAGGGATCAAAAACAATTGACACTACATAAAAATCCATTGGTGCCTCCTTTTAATATTTTTTAAAATCCTGACCCTACCTTAATTACTTCCATCCTCAAAAAGTAAAAGATGATATAAATTCCAAATATATAGTTATATAATTAATATATGATTTTAATCATATGAGTTAGGGTAATTGATTTGTATTCCATTTTTATATCCATACTCACACTAAAAAATATCTTTAGAATGCCAAAAAATTATCCCAAAAAAGTGTCAACAATCAAATTACAATCTTGGAAAATTTATCAGTACTGTAAAATGCAACGGTGCGATCCCCTTGTCTTTCGCTGGAGGAGTGGCGAAGGGTAAGAGGCCCTAGCAAAGCTCGGCTATGGCGACGGCGGCGCTCATCCCCTGCTTGGACAATGATGCTGCTTACCAGTGCCTCCTGCGAGTGTCGCTCTCATCCCACGGGCAGATGTGCCAGGTGAGCCAAGCGTGGAGGAATCTCGTCTCCAGCGCGAAGTTCTACGATAATCGCTCCGCCCAGGGCTTGGACGAGGAATGGCTTGTCGCATCGGTGTTGCTCAGGGAAGAGCTTTCGATCATTGCGTTCAATCCCAATAGCGCATGGATGATATTACCTCCTCCTCCTTCGCAGGGCTTCATGCTCAACGCCAGGAGATGATTCGAGTGCAGGGCCGTTGGCAGCAAGCTCTATCTTCTTGGGAGATGGGGCCGCAAGAAATCGGTGAGCGTCTTCGATGCACGCACGAGTCGATGGAGCGTCGCGGCGCCAATGCTGCATCGTCGAAGGTGCTATGTGTCCGCAGCTATGGAGGGTCGGCTCTACGTCGTGGGTGGCAACGGGATGGGGGAGGAACCGGACGGTGGAGGATCGATGGGATCCTCTCCCCCCTCCGCCATCGCTGGAAAACAGATTTCACGACGCCCTCGTCGTCGATAACAGCAAGATGGTTGTGACCGCGCGCTGTGGTGGCCCGACGTTTGTTTTCTCGGCTCGAGATCTTTCGTGGGAGGTGGCGGACCTCCCTGGATGGCAGGAGCGGCGCCGCTGCTTTGTGCACTCCAACCAGATGTACAAGTCCGACAAGGCGGGATCATTGTTGTTGAGATACGGCAATGGCAAGAAGTCGTGGGAGACGCTCCAGCTGACGGACGCTTCTTCCATCCAGATGACAAACCCTTCTTCTATCTAGCTTCTTCCAGCGGTGACAAGTTTTTGTTCCGGCAGAAGATCATCTGGGCGGTCACGGAGACGAATGCTTCTTCCAGCGGTGACAAGTTTTTGTTCCGCGCAGTGAGCTGCCAGAAGAACATCTGGGCGGTCATGGAGAATCGCAAGGCCGTGAAAGTGATCCAAGTTCCCAATGATGGCGGCTTGGAAGCCAAGGTGGTGGCGGTTTACAGGCTCAGCTTGCCTTCCAGCATCTATCCATTAGCCTTCCGCGTCGAGGTTCTGAACGAGCTTGATGGACATGTATCCAGGTGAGGAAGATGTGGCAAGAACACGTCACGTTTTTATGTGAAAACATGCAGTCACTGATCCTTCTATTGACTTTTTTGATACGATCTTTCTCTGAAATTCGGGGAATGTGATCAATTGAGATCACATTTCTGGGGTAAATCAGAACACTTTTTTGACTTGTATATGAATTCTTTCCGGCCTGGAGGGTTTTTGACTCGTATATGAATTCTTTCCGGCCTGGAGGGTTTTTGACTCGTATATGAATTCTTTCCGGCCTGGAGGATTTTTTACTTCGGAGGTCATGATGGAAAAAGAGGGCTACAGGTCGCAAATGACAACGGGCAGCTTGATCCCGCTGCTGCAGAAGGCCCTTTTGCAACACCAAGTAAGAATTGAACCACTTCCAGTTGAGGCTCCTGTTTTGCAGCTGGACGATCCTGCGCTGACTTACCTTTCCAAGATGCTTTTAGACGGGGATAGTGATAGTGACGAGCAGGAGGTTGCAACCCCGCAGCAGAACAGATACCAGGCTTACATGGACGACTTGAATTCCATCATAAGAGGTTGCGTCCAGTCTCCGGACAGTGATCAAGAACAGGTCGACCAGGAAGTATTTAGCTTGCTCAACGAGTGCGCAAGAGCAGTAGCAGCCAGGAACTCGGCACAAGTTTACAATCTCATCGGATTGATCAAGAACTCAGTGACATCCGAAAACAGCCACTTAGAAAGGACCGCATTGTTCTTCGTCAACGCACTGGTAGCAAGGCTTAAAGGGTGTGGTTCACAGCTCTACTCGGCTCTGTCCAGAGAGGTTTCTCAGAAGCGCTACTTGGGGCTTTTGTGCATGAACCTCCCGTGGTTCAGCGCCACCGAGGTGATCTCGAATCACATAATTCTCGAGGCGTGCAAGGGAGCGAAGCGGATTCATATTGTGGACTACGGGATACTGTATGGCAGCCAGTGGCCGTGGCTTATCCGAGCGTTATCTCAGCGACCCGAGGGAACTCCACTGCTGAGGATGACAGGAATCGACTCGTCTGGGATGATAGATGGTGCACAGATTGGGCAGCATTTACTCGAGTTCGCAGAATCGTGTGGGATTCCGTTTGAGTTTAACTACATCACTACAGACTCTTGGGAGCTCGCACAGCCGCAGTGCAACAGCTTGAACGAGTTTGTGGTCATCAACACAAACAGGAGACTGCGATTCTTGAGGGACGACTCCACCGCAGCAAACAATCCAAGGAAGGTGTTCTTCGATCGTATGCTGAAGCTCCAGCCGGCATTGTTGATCCAGTCTCTGCCAAACGCCGACCCCAACGTCTCGTCCCCGTTCTTCGTCCAGCGCTTTGAGGCGACACTTGCGTACTATGCCAACATTCTAAACGGTTTTGGAGAGGTTCTTAAGGATCATCCGCAAGAGCTTGCCTTCGCAAGAAAGTTTGTGGAGAGAAGCATCATGAATGTGGTGGCCTGTGAAGGTGTGGATCGAGTGGAACGGCCGGGGCCATACTACTACTGGGATTCGACGGCAAAGAAAGCTGGATTCGAGCAGCTGCCTCTGAGCGACCAAGTTATCGAGACAGCCAAGCTGATCTGGAGAGGCGAGAAGTTTAGCTTGTACAGGGATGGGCACTGGTTGTTACTGGCATGGAAGGAAGCCCTGGCGTTTGGGATTTGTGCATGGAAGCCTGGCGTGAAGCCGAGAAATTCGTACGGCGCCAAGAGTTCAAAAAGATACCACTTCTAAAAGCTCTTGCACTAGTGCGTGTTGACTAAGAAGTGGCTGAAATTTGACTAGCAGTCTGTGCATGAAGCGCTCTCTTCTCCTTATCATCTCTTGCTTATCTTCTTTCCAGAGTGATTTAGGCCTAGTACTCTTCTGTTATTGCTGTCAACAAAAACCACGTTCTTCAGTTCCATATCCTGCAAGAAACAAATCATGTTTATATCATAGGCCTGTTAGTTCAAATTACCTCCATCGTTGTCATAAAGGTTGGATACAGTGATCCCTCCTTCATGGCCCAGTCAAAGTCAATGAACCTAACATTGTTGTCACACATTGTCGCTATGCACGCCATATGTAGCCTGCTTGTCTCGACTTTCAACCCGTGAGCAGCCTTCAAACACGCCACCACCTGACCCCAGAGTGTTTCCACATCCCTGAGGCCATAAAGAAGCTCCCAGCCTTTCTTACTATCCAGGTCCACCTCCAGCCAGCCACCCGGCACTTCTTGAGGTTCACCCATGGTTCTGGGATGTGTAGCCGGCATCGGCCCACGCTTTGTGCATACCCGTACTGTTGAACATACTTGACCGCAAACTTCTCACCGCCCCGACAAGATAAACTAGCTTACTGGGATGGATAATTTCCACCGTTGCCCCAGGATTTACACGCTCGATGGGACGCATTTCTCATTCAGGACCACCAAACTGCGATCTAGGCGTTGGGCTGCGCCAAATTGTTGGTAATACCGCTGCAGCCCGAGCATCTCCTGTTTCACGGCCGCACAAACAACAGCACCCTGCACCGCCATGTGCTGATCATGAGCCTGAATGGGTGTGAGAAGGAGCGATGCCAGACCCTGCGGAGCCACAGCAGCAGTGCACTCCAACCGGATCTATGAGGCTGACATGGCCAGATCATTGTGGAGATATGAATGTGGCAATAACTCATGGGAGGTGCTCCAGCTGACTAACGCTTCTTCTGGCCAAGACATGTTTTTCTTCAGCATTGTGAGCTGCCAGAATAATATCTGGGGAGTCTCAAAGAATTGCAAAGTTGTGATAGTGATCCAAGTTCCTAGCGATGGCAGCCTGGAAGCCAAGGTGGTGGCAGTTTACGAGCTTAGGGTGCCTTTCAAGGACAATCACTTCATTTTCAGAACCTTCGACGTTGACGTTCTTCGAGCTTGATGTAAATGTATCAGCTACTACTATACAAGGATGTCATGTTTGTAGCAAATGCTTGTGAAAGGTTTTTTGTCTCAAATTACAAAACGTGTATTTCAGACCCAGATCCTTCAACGTCTAAGTTCCTGGAGCTTAATATTTATGTCATTCTAATTTGAAGGAAATGCTAATTACATTCTTTGTCTTATTTCTGTTCCTACCTGCAGATCACTCTAAGTTTTTAAAAGGATTCAGCTTATCACAGGAAGTCGAGATGCATTGATTTCTCTGCATTTGTAAGTAGCAAGTGATCATTGGTTCTTATACAAGCTTGAAAATACTTGGCAAACCGGTCCATGCATTCGAATAGCTGAAACAGTTGAAGTTCTACTTTAGCGATTATAGGTCCCTCTTAAAATATTCCACTGCTTATTTAATTTTTTTCAGAGGCTATTCTTTGAGCAGGATTCCCATGTTTTTCTTCTCGTGGATATTGCAAATCAAGTATCCAAGCTATAGGTGTGCTAGAAAAATGCCATTATTTGCTTTTCGAGAGGACTTCCTTGCCTATGAGCAGGTCTGTACTTAATTTGTATAAAAAAATCCAATTTCAGGCATAATTGGCTCTTCTTTGCGAAAAGCAAGACACAATCTGTACTGTGGGTGCGTCGTTTCTGCAGAAAAACGCAGGTAAGCTCTTTCACCAATGCAATCCTTTTCGAAAGCTGGCTTTTGACCAGATACGCTGAAACTGTAAACCCAGCTGAGGACGGCTATCTATACCTTAATTAAAATAGACCTTGATCATTGCAGAAAACAGACCGAGAAGGTGTTCGTATTGCTTTGCAACGGAGGGTTCTCCAACTAGGAAACGTCCTAGGAGGTGGTAAGTACCTTCATGGTACATATTGTCTTCCAGATACTTGGCATTCAACTCTGTTTTTGGAGGTGACGATTACCGGAAGGCCTTTAAACAAAGTGGAGTGATTTATGGCTACGATGGGCAACAATGCAGTGTAGAGGACCTGGCATTTGATGTTAGATAGTAGAGATGGTGTGGATGTAATTATGCTCACATGGCAGTAATTCCATGTATATGTACCATTCATATACAGTCATATATAAGTCTTTCCTCCTAGCGTGTGCACACATCTCTCAGCTTTCAGGTATTCATGGTATCCATGCCCTCTTGATCCTGGGCATGGTGCTTGCTGGCACTTGTATACCTGAGGCAGCTGGAAAGGAGTGAAAGTGGAATATGGCTCATGTTGTTCAGGCTGCTTATATGGAATGTTTTTCAGACGTTCCAGATGTCTTCCAAACACCATTTCAGGTTCTTGTTTCAATTTTCTTGTGGTTGTTCTTGACGATAGACTGAGGAGTCCACAGGCCACATACTTGGCTTTGACAGAATGCTGTACCTCCACCTTCTTCCTATGCCCATGCAGAAGTGTTTTATGGCTTCTATGCATCATTTGGGCATTGAGAGGGCATTTTCCCACCGAAGAAGCTTCTTTCCCGCTGTTGCCAATGCAGGCATGTATTAGCCCGACCTCAGTTTGTGAGGACACTTCAGCAAAGAATGCTTGGGGCAGCAAGAGGCAGCGGATGTACAAAGATGAGGTGTTATGATGCTTTGGCACTTGAGTGAGACGAGCTCCACAGTCCACAGCATATGGCTTTCTTAAGCATTTGCTGCGAGCAGAAGATCTAGCACCCGTTTGTCAGCCAGTGATGCTCCATGTTCATCTTAAAGGCATCCCAGTGTTACTCTGGTAGAGGCCTAGAGCTTCTCTTATGAGCCAAATCTCTACAATCTGTATGGTTTTAGGAGATGCCTTTCTGGGGCAACTGCTGAGGTCTTTCACTTTTGAGGCCTCCTTCTTCTCTTGGGCTCTGGGATCTTGTTTCCACTGTCAAGACAGTCAAGTGATATCTCTCATCTACTCTTTCATGATTTTTGCCTCCTGATTGAGAGGAAGATGAGAGGCTTAGTGCTTGATGCACTCTTTCTTTTGGCAAATGGTAGTTTTCAGCCAGTTGGGGTGTGTGATGATGCTCAGTGCACTCCTGGAGTAACTTGGACCAAATGTAGGAAAAATCACCAGTATTTGCTAAAGCGGCACATAGTCATGTGATGCCAGCCTGCTCATCCACATTTCTCCACCTAGAGACAGTCAGAAGCTTCGAGGATAAGAATAAAAGAGGTTTGTACTCTGTTGCAGCAATTACCTACTTTGGGCATCTACTGAGCACTGTGCTTGCGTTAGGACTTGAGCTTTTCATGGTGCGGCACAACTTGGGCCTACTTATCCAGATTATCAAGATACTTCGTTAATTGGAGGCCACGGGGGAAAAAGCTAATATGCTCACTGTTGCGGCATTTGCTTAGATGGGGTATGTTCAATCATATGCTTTCTGGGTATTTGTATCAACAGTAACAAGCATCAGTGCAGACATTTGTAAAATATGCTTTGTCATTGATGTTTGAGACTTGCTCATGGGTATTTGCGCCCCAGTCTGGGAGTTTACAAGATTTATTTGATGCTAAAGAGAACTAGGTGTAAAGGCTTGTGGACATCATAGAGATACTATATTTGTAACTAGGTAGAACACTTTGAGATAGGACCATTTATGGTTATTCGTATGCTATGACTTTTACATTGTTGATATAGTAGTAATGGCTGCAGCATAAGCTCTGCAAGATGATATAGCTTGTTAATTCTTCATTAACTTCTAAGGAGACTGAAATGAAAGCTCAGCTGCCCCAATGACGTGGCCATCTATTGGTAGATTTGTTGTATTAGAGTTCACACTTCTCTTACACACCTCTCCCTAGTCTCTCTCTTGTCTCACTCTTGCTCTCCAAGAGCGAACACCAACATCCAGCACAGTACCACAACACTCAGCCCTCACTCTCAGGTGGCTCATCATCCTCATCCTCACCAGTGACCATCGTTTCATCTGTAGCCCTGAAGGCTCCAATACCATGTCATAAACAAGTGGAACTGTAGTGCATGGCATGCAAGACCAAGCCTTACGATGTCCAGAATGGTTCCAAACATGGGATGCACAAGCGGCAAAGGCAGCGGAGGCGAGGGAGATGCGGCCCGGAAGTTGAGAATCTCGAGATTCTCCCCTGACTGCTCTTCCTTGATTAGACTGTAATCTTGATTCGACGGACCGCCTATTTTTCAAATCTCTCAGCTCAGAAGGCAGGCATAAGCAATAAAAAACCTGATGAAACTTCCACTGTCAGTAAAGAAAAATAGAAGAGTGAAAGAAAACTTCCTCACAATGCCACACGGACGAAGGAAAGTAGAGAAGGAAACATCCTCTCCTGAGCATCCCTGTCTGCGATGCCAATCCTGCCAAACACCCACCCGTGGCCCTTGTTGCAAAAATGCGAGGAAGGATAGTCTTGCCACCCTGGCTTCTCCAAGTAGTTCACACAGATGTAAAGCGCCTTTTCGTCAAGCATCCATTCCTGTGGTTATATGTACTGTGAACGATTTCCAATCTCTCCTCAAGATTGCAATCTTTGCCTGCGTTTTTATTCTTCTTTAAAAGTGCCAGGATCCATTTACTTTTGCGAGATGGATCGAGCTGGATCAAGGATGCGCTTAAACGTGACTCTGGTCCATGGTGTCAAGTTCCACCTTGTGTTGGGTCGAAAGAAAATAGGCGCGAACGAGCATTGGACAGTCGTGATGCCGGCTGCGTGATGGCAGTGTTGGCTTGCGGCTGCATTTGAGGATTGTTTGCATCTGGGAGCTTGCAATTGCCATCACTAAGTAGGACTTGGCCGAGTTAGTTCACGTTTTGCAAGCAGGCCAAGCGGCTGGATGAGATAGAGAG